AAACATATTTCCATATCAGCCATAGTGCCAAAAATAAAAAAAGAGAAGGAAGAAAAGAAGGAAGGAAAGAAGGAAAGAAAAAGAAGGAAGGAAGGAAGGAAGGAAGGAAGGAAGGAAGGAAGGAAGGAGGAAAGGAAGGAAGGAAGGAAGGAAGGAGGAAAGGAAGGAAGGAAGGAAGGAAGGAAGGAAGGAAGGAAGGAAGGAAGGAAGGAAGCATCTAGGTGTTTCAATGTTCTCCAGAATGGTTGGACCAGTTCACAACTCCACCAATGGTTTATTAGTGTACCTGTTTTCACTCATCTCCTCCAGCATTTATCATTTCTGATAGGTGTGAGGTGGTAGCTCAGAGTTGGTTTAAATTGCATTTCTCTAAACAATAGTGATTTATCTTTACCTGACTATAGATATCTTTGATTTCTTCTGAAAAAGACCATTTGACCATTTACCAATTAAGAATGGCTCTTACTTTTATAAATTTGACTCAGTTCTCCACATATTTGAGAAACGAGGCCTTTATCAGAGAAACTTACATTTCAAATTTCTATATTACTCCATTGTTTATGGTACCTTTTAGTAAAATAGAATTTCCCTGATTGTCTTTTTTAATTAGGTCTATTTTTGTTTTTGCTTTATCTGAGCATGATTGCTACCTTGCCCTTTTTCCTTCAGCTGAATCATAAGAGATTCTGCTCCAGCCCTTTGTTTTAGCTCTGTGTGTATTTTTCTGTTTCAAGTGTGTCTCTTATAAACAACATATTGCTGGATTTGGATTTCTAATCAGTTCTGCTACCCACTTCTGTTTTCTGGGTGAGTTCATCTCATTGACATTCACAGTTATGATTACTAACTTCATATTTCACTCTATCTTACTTTCTTCTGTTCATCCTTCCTTCTCTCTTTTTATCCTGTCCCTCCTCCAGAGTCTGTTTTGCTTTTAACCACTACATTTCTTAATTCATCCTCCCTTCCACCACCCTTCTGCCACTTTTATCTCCTTCCCCTCCTGTTTCCTTATTGGACAAGATAAGTTTCTGTATCCAACTGAGTGTGTATATATATTATTCTCTCTTTGAACCAATTCTGATTAAGTGAGGTTCAAATGTTGCCCACCCACCCCCATTTTCTCCTCCGCTATAAAAGCTCTTCCTTGTAACCTCTTTTTTGTGAGAAAATTTTCTCCCTTCCCCCTTCTCCCAGTGCATCCCTCTTCCTCATCCCTTCAAATATGTATATCTATCTATCTATCTATCTATCTATCTATCTATCTATCTATATGTCATCCCAATAAAATTCACACGCATTCATCCTTCTAGCTGACCTAATATTGATGAAGTTCTTAGGAGTTACATGTATCATCTTCCCATATAGGCTTATAAACAGTTTAACTTTATTGAGTCCTTTATGATCATTCTTGCATGTTTACCTTTTTATGCTTCTCTTGAGTCTTTCGTTTGAATGTCAAATTTTCTATTCAGCTCTCATCTTTCATCAGGAATGCTTGAAGGTCCTCTATTTCATTGAGTATATACTTTTCCCCAGTACAATTATGCTCAGTTTTGCTGGGTAGGTTATTCTTGATTGTAATCCTAGCTCTTTTGCCCTCTGGGATATCATATTCTAAGCCTTCCAGTGCTTTAACATGGAAGCTGCTAAATCATGTGTGATCCTGATTGTGGCTTCATGATATTTGAATGGCTTCTTTCTGGCTACTTGCAATATTTTCTCCTTGATAAGAGAGCTCTGGAATTTGGTTATAATATTCCTGGAAGTTTTCATTTTGGGATCTCTTTCAGGAGATGATTGGTGGATTCTTTCCACCACTATTTTAATAACCCTCTGGATCTAAAATATAGAAGCATTTTTCTTTTATAATTTCTTAAATATCAATCAATCATCAGTCTAGGCTTTTTTTTTTATCATGGCTTTTAGGTAGTCCAATAGTTCTTAAATTTTGCCTTTTCCATCTACTTTCCAGGTCATTCATTTTTCTAATGAGATATTTCACATTTTCTGGGGGTTTTTTATTCATTTGATTTGATTTGATTTTTTTCTTAATGTCTCATGGAGTCATTAGCTTCCACTTGCCCAATTCTAACTTTAAAGGAATTATTTTCTTCAGTGAGCTTTTGTACTTTCTTTTCCATTTGACCTATTCTGCTTTTTAAAAAGTTTCTTTCTTCAGTGAATTTTTGGGCCTCTTTTACCATTAGGCCAATTCTGTTTTTTAAGTTGTTATTTTCTTCAGTGTCTTTTGTACTTCTTTTACAAAGTTGTTGGTTTTCTTGAATCATTCTCATTTCTTTCCAAATTTTTCCTCTATCACTGTTATCTCTTTCTTTAATTCTTCTAGGAACTCTTCTTGGGCTTGGGTTTAGCTAGCATTTTTCTTTTTTTATTAATTTATTTTGATTTATCAATAATCACTCCCACATGCTTTTGAGTTTAAAATTTTTCTTCCCCTTCCTCCCCATTGCCCTCCTCAAGATGGTGCACAATCTGATATAGGTTATACATCTACATTCCTATTAAACATATTTTCACGTTAGTGATGTCATAAGTAAAAATTAAAACCAATAGGAGTAACCATCAGAAAGAGGAAACAAAAATCAACAGAAGGTCAAAATAAGTGATAGCGATTTGACTTCCATAGTTCTTTCTTTGGATGTGGATAGCATTTTCCATCATGAGGCTTCTGGAGATGGCTTAGATCCTTGTATCGCAGGGAAGGGTTAAGTTTATCAATATTAGTCATCACACAATGTGGCTGTTATTGTGTACAATGTTCTCCTGGTTCTGCTCACTTCACTCAGCATCAGACCAAACAAGTCTTTCCAGGTTTTTCTGAAGTCAGCCTGTTCATCATTTCTTATAGCATAATGGTATTCCATTACGTTCGTATACTACAACTTGCTCAGCCATTCCCCAATTGATGGGCATCCTCTCAATTTCCAATTCTTTGCCACCACAGAAAGAGCTGCTGTGAATATTTTTGTACATGTGGGTCCTTTTCTCATTTGTATGATCTCTTTGGGATATAGCCTTAGAAGGGCTATTGCTGGATCAAAGGGTATGCACATTTTTATAGCCCTTTGGGCATAGTTCCAAATTGTTCTCCAGAATGGTTGGATCGTTTCACAACTCCACCAACAATGCATTAATGTTCCAATTTTCCCACATCTTCTCCAACATTTATCATTTTCCTGTTTTGTCATGTTGGCCAATCTGATAGGTGTGATGTGGTACCTCAGAGTTGTTTTGATTTGCATTTCTCTAATCAATAGTGATTTAGAGCATTTTTTCATATGACTACAGATGGCTTTAATTTCTTCATCTGAAAACTGTCTGTTCATATCCTTTGACCATTTATCAATTGGGGAATGGCTTGTGTTCTTATAAATTTGTCTTAATTCTCTAAATATTTTAGAAGTGAGGCCCTTATCAGAGAGACTGGTTGTAAAAATTCTTTCCCAATTTTCTACCTTCCTTCTAATCTTAGTTGCATTGGCTTTGTTTGTGCAAAAACTTTTCAATTTAATGTAATCAAAATTATCCATTTTTTTTCATAATGTTCTCTATCTCCTGTTTGGTCATGAATTCTTCTGTTCTCCATAGATCTGATAGGTAAACTATTCCTTGTTCTCCCAGTTTCTTATAGTATCAGCCTTTATATCTAAATCATGAACCCATTTTGACTTTATTTTGGTATATGGTGTGAGATTTGGGTCTATGCCTAGTTTCTGCCATACTCTTTTCCAGTTTTCCCAGCAGTTTTTTTCAAAGAGTGGGTTCTTATCCCAGAAGCTGGGGTCTTTGGGTTTATCAAATAATAGATTACTATAGTCATTGACTACTGTGTCTTGCATATTTAACCTATTCCACTGATCCACCACCTATTTCTTAGCCAGTACCAAGCAGTTTTGATGATTGCTGCTTTATAATACAATTTAAGATCTGGAATTGCTAGGCCACCTTCCCCTGCATTTCTTTTCATTAGTTCCTTTGATATTCTGGACCTTTTGTTTTCCAAATGAATCTTGTTATTATTTTTCTAACTCTATAAAATAATTTTTGGTAGTTTGATTGGTATGGCACTGAATAAGTAAATTAGCTTAGGTAGGATTGTCATTTTTATTATATTAGCTCAGGCCACCCATGGGCAACTGATGTTTTTCCAATTATTTAGATCTGACTTGTGTGAAAAGTGTTTTGTAATTGTGTTCATAGAGTTCCTGGGTTTGTTTCGGGAGGTAGACTCCTAAATATTTTATAATGTCTACAGTAAGTTTAAATGGAGTTTCCCTTTCTATCTCTTGCTGTTGGGCTTTGTTGGTAATATATAGAAATGCCAATGATTTATGTGGGTTTATTTTATAGCCTGCAACTTTGCTAAAGTTGTTTATTATTTCAAGTAGTTTTTTACTTGATTCTCTAGGATTCTCTAAGTATATCATCATGTCATCTGCAAAGAGTGATAGCTTTGTTTCTTCTTTGCCTATTCTAATGCCTTCAATTTATTTTTCTTCTCATATTGCTGAAGTTAACATTTCCAGTATGATACCGAATAGCTGTGGTGATGATGTTTCACCCCGATCTTATTGGAAATGTTTCTAGCTTGTCCCCATTACATATTATGCTTGCTGAAGGTTTTAGATAGATGCTATTTATTATTTTAAGGATGACTCCATTTATACCTATGCTTTCTAGTGTTTTTAATAGGAATGGGTGTTGTATTTTGTCAAAAGCTTTTTCTGCATCTATTGAGATGATCACGTGGTTTCTGTTAGTTTTGGTGTTGATATGTTCAATTATACTGATAGTTTTCCTAATATTGAACCAGCTCAGCATTCCTGGTATAAATCTTACCTGGTCATAGTGTATTATTCTTGTGATAAGTTGCCATAATCTATTTGTTAATATTTTGTTTAAAATTTTTGCATCTATATTCATTAAAGAAATTCATCTGTAATTTTCTTTCTCTGTTTTGACACTTCCCGGTTTAGGTACCAGCACCATATTTGTATCATAAAAAGAATTTGGTAAGACTCCTTCTTCACCTATTTTCCCAAATAGTCTATATAGTATTGGAATTAATTGTTCTTTAAATGTTTGATAGAATTCACATGTAAATGCATCTGACCCTGGAGATTTTTTCCTAGGGAGTTCTTCAATGGCTTGTTCAATTTCTTTTTCTGAGATGGGTTTATTTAAGTATTTTATTTCCTCTTCTGTTTAGCATTTTTCTTTAAGGCTTTGCTTGTAGCTGTTATCATATTGTTGTCTTTGCCTCAGTTTTTGTAGTAGCTTTTTATGGTCAAGTTCTTTTTGTTGTGTTGTTGTTGCTGCTGCTGTTTGCTCATTTCCCCAGGCTATTTCTTGACTTTGAACTTTATGTTAACGTTGGGCTCTGCCCACCTGGGGATAGGGAAGCATTGTCCCAAGATTTAGGCTTTTTTGTACTGTTGTTTTCAGAGCTAGTTCTGGGAGGCTTCAAGTTTTCAGTGTTTAAGTGGTGTAATCAGGGGAGAGGTGTGCTCACTACTCTCCTAGTCTGTGCTCTGCTCTTTACCCAGGACGGCCCACGCTCCCCTCTAGCTACAAGCGCTAGTGCTCCTCTCTGCCTTGGAGCTGTGACCAGGGCCCCAACTTGCTTGTGACTGACCACATTGCTCCTTTCTGCCCTGGAACTATGACTCAGAACTGCTTATGGGAAATAAAGTTGTCAATCAGCACCAGCTTCACTCAGTGCCAGCAAAGAGTCCCCTATAATCTCTATCTAATAAGTTGTCCAACCCCCTTACTATCTCTGGCCTGTGAGCTCCCAAAGCTGCCCTGCTGCTGCCATCACTGCAGCCTCAGAGGCCCATAGCTGGTGCTACTGCCAAGTGCACTCTGAGCTGGCACCTACTCCAGTGTCATAGACCTTTCCTGCCAACCTCCTAAGTTGTCTTAAGCTGGAAAAGTTTCTAAGTCTGACCTTTTGTTGGCTCTACTTTCCAAAATTTGATTTGAGGAGTTATTTTAAAGCTGTTTGGAGAGGACTGTTGGAAGGGTTTTGCTGGGTTGCTGCCTGTCTCTGCCCCCTCATTGCATCTTTTTCTAATTTTTTTTTTCCAATAAACAAAAATCTACTTTTTTCTCCTTCCCACTCACCCCCAACAGTAATAAAAAGAAAATAAAAACAAAACCCTGGCAGCAAATATGCATAGTTAAGCAAAACAAATTCTTGCATTGGTTATGTCCAAAAAAAATATGGATTTCAATTTGTACCCTGAATCTGTCACCTCTCTCAGGAGGTGTAAGCATGCTTTATCATGGGTCCTTTTAGAATCTTGGTTTTCCATTGTCTTGATCAGAGTTCTTAGGCCTTTCAATTTTGTTTGTTTTTAAAGTATTATTGTTATTGTATAACATGTTCTCCTGGTTCTGCCCACTTCCCTCTGCATCACTTCATATGAGTCTTCCCAGATCTCTCTGAAACTGTCCCTTTCAGCATTTGTTATAGCACTATAGTGTTCTGTTACACTCATATACAATAATTTGTTTAGCCATTCCCCAATTGATGGGTACCCACTTCGTTTCCAATTCTTTGCAATCACAAAAGGAGTTGCTATAAATATTTTTTTACATATAGGTCTTTTTCCTCTTTCCTTGGTGTCTTGGGGATACAAGCCTAGTAGTGGTATGCACACATGAAAAACTTTGGGGACATAGTTCCAAATTGCTTTCTAAAATGACTGGACCAATTCATAGTTCTACCAACAGTACACTCACATACTTATCTTCCTGAAGGCTCTCCAACAGCTTATCATTTTCCACTTTATTGCCCTTTAATCCCAGAATCTGAATCACTGGGCTGACCTAGCTAGGGTTGATCCAGTATGCCACTTTACTGATGAATCAAGTATGGATCCAAGAGGTGAAGTGATTTGCCCATGGATAGATAGATGATACAAAGAAAGAAAGGTAGATAGATAAATGGATGGATAGATAGAAAGATAGAAAGTATTTATTAGGATGTTCAGCTAGGTGGCTCACTGGATAAAGTGTCAAGCCTGGTGTCAAGAAGACCTGAGTTCAAATTTGACCTCAGACACTTACCAGTTATGTGACCTTGGGCAAGTCACTTAACCTTGTTTGTTTCAGTTTCCTCATTTGTAAAATGAACTAGAGAAGGAAATGACAAACCACTGCAGTATCTTTGCCAAGAAAACCAGATGGGGTCATAAAGAGTCAGACATGACTGAAAAATGACTGAACAACAACAAACAACAGTTTATTAAGCTATGTTCCAGGCACTGTACTATGTTGTGAGTGATATAAATACAAACAAATAAGACAGTCCCTGTCCTAAAGGAGCATAAATTTAAATGGGGAAATACCTAACATTGCAGTGGAGTCCATCACCATTAACTAAGCTGTTAATTTTCTTTTCATTTTTTTTCTTGCATCACTCTTATTTCTTTCCCATTTTTTTCTCTGCCGCTCATCTTTCTTTACCTCTTCCAGGAATTTTTGTTGTGCTTGGACCCAATTAGCATTTTTCTTTGAGGCTTTGCTTGTAGCTATTTTCACCTTGATGTCTTCTTATGCCTTGGTCTTCCTTGCCACCATAGTAACTTTTTTTGATCATGTTCTTTCTTGTTTGTTTGTTTGTTTGCTCATTTTGAAGTTCTTAAGTCCACAAGGATATTGACCTGGACTATGGCATGTACATGGAGACTCTGGTGAAACTAATTTTTCTATCAACTTGCCACGTATTTTTTTTTACAACTTTGGAAGCACTATGGGGATTTGTGAGTTGTTTTAAAATTATAGAAGTAAAGTATAGTAGTAATAATAGTAAAATTATAATAGTAAAAGTATAGTAGTAACATATAGTATAATAGTAAAATTATAGTAGTAGTAGTACATAATAATTTGTTAAAATATTGCAATTTTAGTTCCTCTTGAGGATAAATGTTAAGAGAGAGTTGAAAAGGAGAGGGACTATGTGCACATAGCAGCATGGTGTGGAGTTGGCCGGGAAGTAATGAGGAAGAGAAGATGGAAGTTCACCTATCGGAGCCTGGGGCAAAGGAGTGGAGGTGAGTAGTTTAAGGTTTATGTGAGAGAAAGAGATGAAAATTGTATGGCTCAAGTGTAGACAAAATGGTGATACATATTAAGTGTCTAAGGTGAAATTTGAACTTGGGTCTCTCCTGGCTCTTTGTCCAACTATCACTCTCTCCATTATACAGTGATATCACTTAAGAAGCTGAGGCTCAGAGCAGTTAAATGTCTTGCCCAAGGTTTTGTAACTAGGAAGTGGTATCATTCAACAAACATTTATTGACAGCCTGTTAATAGATACTACATACAGCAGATACTGAAAATATATATTATAGATATTGCAAAGTGACATCACAGGTGGTCATACTGTTCCTATTATCTGTAGACTGATCTGTATCCTGTTCTTAAGAGGTGGTTCTAGAGCTTCCCTTGAGATATGGTCCCAATGTTCTACAGCCCAGTGTTCTCAATAATATTAAATTAGGGGGCAGCTAGATGGCACAGTGGATAGAGCACTGGCCCTGGAGTCAGGAGGACCTGAGATCAAATTTGGCCTCAGACACATTACACTCACTAGCTGTGTGACTCTGGGCAAGTCATTTAACTCCAATTGCCCTCAACAAAAACAAACAAACAAACAAACAAACGACAGACACAGACAGATAAATAAATAAATAAGCAAACAAACAAATGAATCGATAAATAAATGAATAAATAAGTAAATAAATAAATAAATGAGTGAATGAATGAATGGATGGATAAATAAATGAATAAAGTGCTCAGATTCTTAAAATCTGGCCAACAGTGCAGACTCATTAGGAATCTGCCTCACCCCAATCTGGGTTCTAATAAACCTTGTGTTTAAAAATAATCATAATAACATTAAATTAGAAGGATGTTACTTTGATACCTCAGAAAAATAGCACTGTGATATACAGATGAGATAATGAAAGGCAAAAGAGAGAAGAATCATTTATGAAGAAAGAATTATTAAGAGGTAAGTATTTTAACAGCATGAAATTCTGAAAGAGGCATATTCTTCATTTTGTATAGGAGGAAAAAGAAGCCTGTAGCATCCAAAGACACAAGGTTAATTAGTGTGAAAGCCTGACATAAGTTAGGCAATATGGTCTGTCCATTAGGGTTGAGTAGATATATAAATCAACATGACATATAATATTGATGTAATTAATATAGATTAATATAATCATAAAATGAATATGATATGTGATAAAAATCAATCAAAAAGCACTCATTAAGTGCCTAGAATTTGTCAGGCACTGCACCAAATGTAAAGACAAAAAAGAAACAACTTCTGCCCTCAAAGATTTCATATTCTTTTGGAGGTGTGTGTGTGTAAAATATATACTAAGTGGTAACTTGAATTCACAAAGTGAATACAAGGTAACGAGGGGAGGAAGGGGAAAAAGTAAAGATGGGATCAGGAAAGGACTCATATAAGAGGTAGCTCTTGAGCTAAGCCTTTAAGGAAGAGATTCTAAATGGTAAAGATGAGGAGTAAGTTCATTTCAGGCATGGGGTAGAGTTTGTGCAAACGCACAGAAATAGGGAATGGAATGTTCTGTGTGTGGGAGAACAAATGGGGCTGGTTTGGTTGGAGAGTAAGTGGAGACTGTAAAGGAGTTGCTATTGTTCAGTCATGTTCAACTCTACATGAACTTTGTCCATGGGATTTTCTTGGCAAAGATGCTGGAGTGGTTTGCCATTTCCTTCTCCAGTGAGTCCTCATTTTATAGATGAGGAACTGAGGCAAATTGAGGTTAAGTGACTTGCACAGGGTTACACACTTAATAAATGTCTGAGGCTGAATTTGAGCTCAGATCTTCCTGACTCCAGGCCCACCACCTAGATGCCCCATGTAAAGAAGAGTAATTTATAATAAAACAGGAAAGGTAGGCTGGAGCTAGATTGTGAAAGACTGTTAAATATCAAAGCTACTAACAGATAGGTAAGCCTGGGAGCCTCTGAACAGCAGTGCCCCCCAGGCCAAGAGAAGCCAAAGAGGTTTCCATTAGTTACCTCCTGAAAGAAAACTTTAAAATGACCCCCCCAAAAAACATCATAGCCTGAATCCAGAGCTTCCAAGCTTTATCTTCATCTATTTTTATTAAGAAAGCAATATCCACTTCTGATGTTGAACAATTCTACAACTGTAAATATCCCACAATATTTATTCTTGTTGCCTTTGGGCATGTAATAAAACCTACTCTGCCAGGTCTTTAATTGGCTCTCCAAGGAGCAGTTCTGAGCCATCTTTACATTTGGGAGCAATTTTCTTTTCTTCTGGTTTGTTCATAGCAAGAATGTCAAAAATTCATATGATTTGGCTCTTCTGGTCCTACTTACTGGCCATTGGACAATTATCTCACATTTTGAGCACTAATGAACAGGCTAAAACACAATGTAATTCTTAGCATCCTCTGGCCCTTTTCTGACACTCTATCACCATCACTGCAAAATTGGAAGAAGCATAGGACTGGTGCGTATTTTAAATTTGTCATTGTTTCATGGGTTATGGTTCAGTTGTTTCAGTCATGTCTAACTCTTTGTGGCCCCATTTGGAGTTTTCTTTGTAGATATACTGGAGTGTTTTGCCATTTCCTTCTCCAGCTTATTTTACAGTTGAAGAAACTGAGACAAACAGGGTTAAATGACTTGCCCAGGGTCACACAGCTAGTTAAATGTCCAAGGTCAGATTTTACTCCAAGCTCAACATTCTATCTACTCTGCCATCTACCTGCCCAGGGCCTCATGGGTTGCAATGGTTTAAAAATATATATATATATTATCAGGCAGCTAGGTGATGCAGTGGATAGAGCCCTGAAGTCAGGAAGACCTGAGTTCAAATCCAGCCTCAGACCAAACACCTGACACTTACTAGTGTGACCCTGGACAAGTCACTTAACCCCAATTGCCTAAAAAAATAAAATAAAACATAAATAGATAGATAATAGATATATAGATAGATAAAAAAATCATCACCAGGTGGCCAGTGTACTAATGATATGCCTCTCCATAGTCAGCTAGCTTGGTCCTCAGAAAATAGGTTCAGTCTGTGGCCATACCATAGATGAAGCCTTTCCAGCCTGGCAGAACCTGCTAGAAATTGGCGTAGCCAATTACATAACATCATTGTTGTGTGGAGGTGATCCTTGGTTCTTAGAGGTTATGCCAATGGAGTAGGACTTTGGAACCACCACATTTAGACCCTTTCATTACAGTGCCATATGGGCTTATTAAAAGAGGTAGATATACCTTTTTGTAAATATATAGATGTGAAAAATAGCTGAATCATATCAAGTGTATGTAAAACAGATCTGTGTTGGAGAAAGTACAGTTATGAAGGCACAGAGGGACTGATACACAAGGTAAATGACTGTGGGGAAGATACCAAAGGCTAGAAAATATCTCATACTTTATTAATAACAAAAAGTACAGCTAAGAGATCAACAAGTACTTACCTATATGCCTACTCTCTCCTCTACGCAAAATCTTTATGAAAGTTGTCTATACACAAATCGAGGACATCCCTAATGAGGGCAAAATCATAATAGGGGATAAGTAGTTTTCACTAGCAACATATCATTATCATTTGGCAATTAACTGAGCCTGTGGCCTCAATGCCACATGTGGCCTTCTAAGTCCTCGGGTACGGCCTTTTGACTGAATCCAAGTTTTAAATAACAAATCTTTTTTTAAGGGGTTTGTTCTGCGAAGTTTGGATTCAGTCAAAGTGCCACACTTGAGGACTAGAGGGCCACATGTGGATTCAAGGCCACAGGTTCCCCACCCCATAGACAATATAAGATCCCACCATGCTTACTGTTAGTTGATTTTAAAAAAAGTTTTTAATTCATTAAAACAAAACATTACCTTATATGGTCTTTTACAACCAGGTGTATCCTATCCATATTTCAAACTCATTCAAAATTCCTTGAACATATAACAACAGGAATAGTCTGATTCAATGACCCTCTGATCATAAACATCAGGCAAGGCATAAAATAGAGTGATATAAGCTTCTTTTGGTGTATAGATGTGAGCCACTATGCTAGAAGAGATCACTGTAGAATTCATGTTGAAGACAGAGTCCATGTGGGTGATGGCATCCTCCGGATGCTCTGTTTGCAAAGCATAGTGTCTTAGGTTTGTAGATTCAAAGGTAGAAGAGACCTCAGAGGCCATTTTACAAATGAGGAAACTGAGGCCCAGATATATTGAAGCCCAAAGTTACATGGGTAGTAAATTACAAGAGCAGGCTTTGAACCCAGGTCCTCTAACTCCAGAGTTAGTGTTCTTTCCACCGTATATGCTGTTGACATTGTGCTGATTGCATCTAGCCCCAAAACATTGCAGATCTCCTAGAAGAGACCTATACATTGGACCTGATCATTCACATAGGAAAGTTCAGATGGATGAAAAATATTTATTGCCCAGATTAAAATATATATTTTGATGGACAGTCTATGGAACCTGTCCATTAGTATGTATATACTGACGAGCTAGAACCAGACTTGAAAAGAAATTGGTAGATCCCTTCAGAAAACTGCAAATCACTTTTAAGGATCCCAAATTTCTCATAAAACAAAAGCTTATCTTCTTAATCCCAACATTCTATTGGTCTTGCTATATTGGAAGATAAGGAATACAGTAGTCTCTGAAGAATTAAAAAAAAGTATCATGCAAAGGACAATGAACAGATATGAGCAGCCAGTAACATACATACAATGAGGAACTTCATAGACAAACAGGAGTTAAAAAAAATGTATAACAGGAAGAAAAGATGAGTTGGTCACATGGAACAATGAGAGGTGACCAGGGGACTGCCAGAGTAGTCAGCTGATACCCTCTCAATGTCAAGAGAAAGTGAGGAAGACTCTCAGTGGCAGACTTATGAGAAGAATTGGACAAGAGTCACACAAGATGGCCAGGTATGGGTTGGTTACAATCCACATTATTAAAGAGGACTTCTGTATCCATGAAATCACAGATCCA